AACCGAAGCCCAGTAGATAAGACACGTACAAAGACGGTTATGTCAAGATTATGTCAAGGTTATGTTATATACCTGACGGTTGAGCTCGCTGTGGTGCAGCTTGTTGGTTGGAAGAGAACTGTGACGCTAGTAGTGAAAAATGTCGGAAGCTCGGGGTTGGTGCTTCGGTCTATCAACTACTCCTGTGTCTTAATTAACTAAGAAATCAACTGAAAATACACTCCATTGCCTTTGTACGTGCCTTATCTACTGGACTTCGGTTGTGAATTTTCGATTCGAGCTCTATATCTCTCGATATTTACGAAAACCTGTTAGCGGCGGCCATCTTGTGACGTCATGCTCGTGAGATTGACACCACTCTGGCCGAATATTGCAAATATCTCCGCAATAACTGCAAAACGGATATTTCTACAACCGAAGCCCAGTCGTTTAGTCTTTCCGGAATCTAAATTTTCCACTTGTGAACTGCATACTTCGATATTAAAGCGTCAGTTTTGGTCGATAGACACCCCTAAAACTAATATACGTATATGGTTTTCTTGTATGTGTGGCTCGTCATAGTGTGCGGCGACCCGGGCCCTTAAGTGGGCGGTACAAATTGACTGCTTGATTATGACGTTTCAAAGAACAATTGCGTTTTGGCTCCGGAGAGTGAACTATTTTTTCCGACAAACTCGGCCGCCTCTCCTTAAGAACATGCTTTCTTTTTCGCAAACTCTCAATTCTCGTGTCGAGCGTCCTTCATCTACGAGAGACTACAACAGTACCAAACAATCCGGTCCCGGCTGGCGCACGGTGAGCAGGTTCGTAGAATTTAATGACGTTTTGCTAGAACATTAACTCTTTCATGTCGGTGACTTGCGAATTTGAAAAAGGACACGCGTTTAAAATGGAACGTACCAACCGAAAAATTGCTTCGCTTCTTCAAGATGTCCCGGCGAAATTGCTCTGTGCTTTCTGTGAACGAAAGCGCTTTAAATGAAAAGCACTCTTTCGTTTTGGAAATGCACACCTCGAATTGTGAATCACTGTTCATTATCGATTTGAAATTAACGCGTTAATAGACTGACGCTTATTGTCAAAGTTTTGCGAACAGTCATAGTCAGTTATAAATCGAAGTATTTTCAGTTTACTTATCTATACGTGATCGTGTTAGCGTCTCCTGTCATCTCCGTTAGATAAATAATTATTGTTCAGTGAACTGAGAATCATGTTGCACTTATGGACATCGTGAAAGATGACTAGAATAAATGCATACAGAAGGTAAGTTTGTAATGTCAGGTAAGAACGGAAGATTGAAAAATATATAGATTCTATTTCGAACGATACGAAGAACGATAATACGCAATTCGATAATGCACTGAATTTATGAAACCGCTTTGGATAGCAACGACACGAACACCTTCCACAGATATCGTGAGTTCTGAAGTAGCAGCGAAACGTCACGAAACTCTGCGACGTGGATCGCCGTGGGGCGGTTTACGCGAATATTCGTTTCGTTGAATAATTCATCTGTAGTCGGAGTCTATCGGAGCGGTGCGAGTTGGGGCGCGGGGCAAGTAAATCGCTACGCGAAAGTCGATCGTTAGATTGGTCGTCGATCGTCGATGCGATGCCGATTACATGCGTCCCGGTTGGAGGTGGACGTGTGTCGCGTGGCATGGGTCTGAGAACGCAGCGAGTCGAGCTGGAGAAAGGGGGGTTGGTGGCGGTCGGGAAACGAAACAAAGGTGGACGAGAATAAACGAAAGAGTAAACAGGTAGAAGACGTTCAAGCGATCTTGATGCCAATCTAACGGCTTACTTGGGCAGAATGTCACAGCCCTGCCGCATTAAGGATCCGATGGTGAACCACATGCAGTTGAGCAGCTTGAAGCGGTTCTCCAGATGGTCCGGGTTTTTGTTGCACGGATGAGGATTGTACCACTCGTACGGGGTGAATCTAAACTGATCAACTCTAGACAACGTCTGATCCCCTTCGGCCGGACGCATCTGTCTTTCCCGGGCCGGCCGATCGCCATTTACGTATGAAGATTAACCGCGTCCGGGCATCGAGAAAAAGAGGTCGAACGGAATGCGACAAGTGACCGTCCCCTGTCTGTTTCGCCGTTCCCCCTCGTCCCCCGTCGATTTAATGCGGGTTTTTTTTATGCGCGATCGACGCCGCGCGATCCGTCACGATGAATCGTGAAATTAAAACCGGCCGCGTCACGGTTTCGCGGAATATTCGCGAGCCACCGTCGTCGATCGATATACTTACATGTCGCACGGCTATGAAAAAAAGCGACCTTTTAGTTTTAAGGGAGCTGCGCAAGCTGCACCTCGGCGCAGGGTTGACGTCGACCGCCACGGCCAATTTCGAGGTTCTACTGCAGATTGAAAAATCTCACGAACACGCGAGAAGCTTGTTAAACTCTCGATACGTGGTGGAAACGATATTTTTACGTCGTCGGGACCTGCAGCTAGCGGATCGTTCGGGTACGTGGTGGTCTAGTCGGTGCTGTATGTATAATACTTTTATCGAGGCTCGGAAAGGTGGATTCACTTGCCTGGCGAGTATGAAGAGCAGCACTGAGACGCCCAGATAAGCAGTTGCCATATAAATCCAAACGTCGAGGCTCAAGGGACTGAGGAATGAGAACAGATTCGGCGGCTGCTTTATAGGCTTGCGATAAAGTATGCTGATACCTGGAACAGCAGAACCGAAAATTAATTCTAGAAACACAGTGGTGAATGTCATTCGTTCTTAACCCTAGAAAGATAACCATATGACAACGTACGTAAAAGATAACCATACGCTTCAGAGGCGCATGCTTTTCTAAGGCGTCAATTTTATACTAACAATGGATATTTATTTAAGTTAATCTAGTCATTTTAAAGGTTTGGCATTATTGTAAAAATAAAATGCATTTATATTATATTCTTTTATATTTTAAGTAATTTTAAACTTAAATCACTAGACCTCTATGAAAAATTAACAAAAATCAACAGTCGTCGGTTTATGGGAACAAATCCCGTAAAATATCACAAAAAATAGTGTTTTATCCTTACAAACTAGTAGACTATAATATAATCAGTGTAAAAAAAACTATAATACTATAAAAAATTTCTTTAGAGACAGTCATGACAAACGTCTTTCTTGTGTTCACCACAAACTGTCTTTTTGCATTTGGCACAGGTCATCTTTGACATTCTTTTCTTTTTAGACGTGCAAAGACTGCAATAACGCCTTTTTTTGGCCGAGGGTTCTTCTTCATCATCTGTGGAAGCCTGTACAGCAGATTTTGGAAGAATATTTTCAATGTTGCTTCGCACATGCCTTGGCAAAGTGG